TAGCCGGGCGTCGTAGCGCTGGGTGGCTTCCTCGCTTGCCAGCTCCTGCCGCAGGGCGTGCTGGCTGGCGGCGCCGGCGTAGGTCAGCAGCAGCGCCCCAGTGGCTTGCTTTGCCAGGCCCGCCTGGTGGAGCCGGTAGAGCGTGTCCCAGAGCTTCTGCAGCCGCAGGGTCGCCTTGTCAAGGCTGTTGGCGCGCGCCCCGAGGGCTGCGGGGTTGTCCTCTGTGTCCCCCCGCGGCCTGAGGTGCTTGCCAAGCACCGGGAGAACAGCCACGTAGTGGGGCCGCAGCGCAGGCGGCACGACGGCGCCCCCGCTCGGGGACCAGACCGCAGTCTTCGCGTGGTTGAGCTCCAGGCCGTAGGGCTCGAGGGCAGTCCCCAGGGCAGTGAGGGTGGCAGGGGAGAGGCCGGCCTCGACCACCAGGTAGGTGTCGTCCAGGTAGGAGTAGAGCCGGGCAGCAGGGTCCAGCCTCTGGAGCTCCACCCAGAAGTCGGCGAGAGCCTCGCGCTGCGCCACCGAGAAGCCAGCGGGAGAGAGCGGGTCGCCTTGGTCGAAGCCCCTGCTGCTTGGCACCTTGTGCAGTGCGCCGCCGGCGTCTCTCCAGTAGTGGTCCACCGGGCCCCCGTGCCAGTTGGTCAAGGCGGCGGCCGCTGCAGGGTCGTGTCGTGCCATTGCTGCGGTGGCGGGTTGGCGTTTCACTCTCTGGAAGGCAGCCTTCTTCAGGAAGACGGCGGTGGGGCGGGCCTCCGCCTGTGCCTCGAGGCACCGCAGTAGGAGGTCCGCGCCCTTCTTCCTCCCCACGCCGTACTGGTGCTCGCCAGCAGCGGCCGCCAGCCGCTCCTTGCGGACCCGGACCAACGCCCGCAGGCCGAGCCGCCGCCAGGCCGAGCTCACCAGCAGAGGCCAGACCTCGTCCGCACCTTTTTCGAGGGCGATAACCTCGCCGACCCGCAAGGCTTGCAGCGTCCCAGCCGGAAGAAGGCCGAAGGTGACCCAGGAGACCGCCTCGGAGAGAAGCTGTAAAGTCTCCTGGCTGGCCGCTGCCGTCTCCAAGTGCTCCAACCTCGTTCCGAGCAGGCCCGGGGCAGTGAGCCGAGCTGGTCTGCGAAGGAGGCGCCGGATCTCCTCCTGCACCGCCTCGAGCAACGCCTCGTCCGGCTCCGAGCGGGCGCCTGGGGCGGCCGGCGCGGCAGCGTCCTCAGGGAAGCACTCGAGGACCTTTTTCAGGGTCTCCGGCGTTCGCGGGGCGAGCTTCGCGCTGGTGGCTGCCGTCAGCGCTCGCCCCTCTTCCCCGGAGGCGGCGAGAGTGTGTACCCGAGCCGCTAGCTGTTTGTCGGTCTGCTCGCGGCTCCTCCTCGGGACAGTCCTGCCAGCCCGGGTGGAAGCCCAGAGGGCTGCCCACTGCCCGCCCCAGAACCACGCGAGCCTTTCCTCGAGCAGCTCCCCACACGTAGCCGCCTCGGACGACTTGGACAGGAGGAGCATGTCCATGAGTAGGACCAGTTTCCACTCGCTCTCGGCCTCCGAAGTCCCACGGGCACGCTTGAGGACCTCCAGGGCCTTGTGCCGCGCCTCCTGGAGGGCTCCTCGGAACCGGTCCGGGACCTGCACGAATGTCGTCGTGCCAGCTTTGAATGCATCTTCCCAGCGCAGCGTGTCCCACCAGGCGGCGTCGGGCAGGAGCTGCTCCTCCCAGGCTGGGTGCAAGGGCGCGGCGTGCTGGCCAGCGTGGAGCGCTCCGGCGCCCTCTCCAGCGGCCGCCCCAGCCGAGGCAGCTCCCGGGGCTGCCTGTTCGGGAGCGGCCTGCACACGCATCCGGGCTGCGTCGGCATCCTCCTGGGTGGCGCGTCCGAGGGGCTTGAACTCGGCCCCCTGCGGCACGGTCCCAACCAAGCAGATTGTGCACTCCCACCGCGCACTTGTGCGAGCACCCCAAGGGCATAGGCGGAGCTCGCCGGCGCCGAAGACGAGCCCGCACGTCTTGCAAGTGGCCGGGCGCATTGTCTGCGGCTGGACGCCCACTGCCCAGGCTGCTGCTCGGCGCCGGCGTCGACTCGCCGGCTCGTCGACTGCCATGTCGCCCTGTGCTCCAGGCTCAGCATCATGCATCGAATCCAAGCGCACGTCCTCTGCCATTCGGCACCCTGGAACATTAATCAAGCGTGGAAAAACATGAGCAATTCAATGATAGGGCTGTTCGAGTGTCCGCCGTCATGGCATCCACAAACATCTAACCCAATTCGAACTTATCAGAGAAGTCCTGTTGAAGTCTCGTCTGAGCAGACCCGGCCAGGTGGGAAGACGTGCGATCTTTGCTTCTTTTGGGGCGGCCAAGCAGGGGGGGGGACGACTAAGGGGGGGATCATGGCCGTGGCCACGACATCTGCCTCGATTTCGTGCCCACCTCCTCTTTCAACGTGCCCCCCCGGTCCCCACCTGGGACCGCGCGCGTGCCTTGGGTTAACAGTGGAGACCCATGCCAAGAGACACCCTGCGTGCCTCCAGGGTGCCCTGGATTTCTTGGGTTTCGATGGTTTTGCTGTGGAAAGCGCGACCCTTCCACACCACATATCTATGGACGTCCTGGGGTCTCAGGGCTGTGTTTCTTGTGGAAGGTTTCTTGTGGACTGGCCTCCGCTATATGATCTGCGAGCCCCCCTCTTGGACGCCCCTGGATTTTCCCAGGCGCCCCTCGGGCGAGCGGGCACTGGGGCCCTCCCGCTGCTCGCTCGCCTCGGCCTGGAGGTTCGGCTGCCCGCCGGGGCCTCGCGAGGGGGTCCTGGCAGGGCCCTGCCAGAGCCTTTCCCCTGGTATCGCTCGGACGTGTGGACGTTCTCCTCGGCGAGGGTCACCGACGAGCACGTTGGATCATTTTGTGAGGCAGTACACGTGCGAAACAGAACAATGCACGGGGAATGGATGTCCGAGCGATGGCAAGTTCCTTAGATGTTCGTTGTGGGGACCTTCCTGGGGCCCACCGGATGGATCTGTTGGCTCTAGTTCGACTCAGCTTCGTCTCCAGTTCGGCTCGAAAGCGGCTGGGGTTCGGCCCAAGTTCGACTCCAGGTGGCGGACGGTCGACGAGGCATCGACGTACGAGTTCAGCCAGTGGCTACAGGAATATCCCCAGAACGATCCTTTAGCTTTCCCGCTTGAGGGCGGTGCACCTGGCAGGGTCCATCTCGATCCGATCGATCCAGTTCGATGTCGATCCGGGCTGGCCCGATCCGGCTCGAAACCAGGATCGGTGTCACCCCAACATGCCAATGTCATGTGTGCGTCGCCCCCGCAGGGGGGCGACGCGCGCACCGAGAAATCTTGTAGTACATTTAGTACATGCGTCGTGGCGAGCGCTTTCTGGCCACACCGCTCGGGAAACGATCTACTACAAGATGGGTATACTATATGTTCGGGTCAGACGCGCGCCTCCAAGGAGGACATCTAGTATTAGTATGTCTCTGTGCGTCCCAAAGGATTCCGACGAATGGGTGCGGCCCGGTGTTTGCATGGCGCTGTTGTGCATCCTGGCGCTGCAAACTCGATTCGATTCGGACTTCGTGCCAATGCGTCCCGATTCGGTGCACGTTCTGATCCTGTCCGATCGATTGTTTCGATGCTGGCCTCTCCTGGCTTGACTCCGCTGGGACCTTGCTGGGACCCTCTCCATCCGTGTACCTGAGCGCAGTGCGGCAGCACCGTACCAGGACCTTGCCAGAAGCCGTCCAAGACCGTTCGAGTGCCTGGTCCACCACGAACCGCAGCAGGGCCTTGCCAGGATCCGATCAGAACCCTAGGTACCAGGACCCTACTATGACCTTGCCAGGACCCTGTCATGAATCTACCAGGACACCACGAGGAGTCAAGACGGGCCCCCAGGGGAATCGAGCTCGAGTCTACGAAGCAGTGCGTGTTCGGGTGTATGGTTTCGACGCGCTCGTGGCTGCACACCTGAGCCTGACTTGGGGCCCTCTTCGAACTATTTTCGGACCTTCTTGGGACACTCTTGGATTTTCCTGGGCCTCTCCTTCGGCATTGGGCAGGACGTTCGAAAGCCCCCAGGAGATACGACTTTGACCATAGTCAGCCGTTGCCGAAGCTCCTCGCGCCAAGTTTTCATGGTCTTGCTCCGCCGCCGTCTGGAATCATTTCAGCCTGCAGGGGGAAATGAGCATGCTAATTTTCGATACAGTGAGCGCTCATGAGTCTGACTCCGAGGCGCTCGTGGCTGCACACTTGCGCCTGTTTTGGGGTCTTCTTCGGGCCGTTTGGTGCTTACTAGAGCAGTCCTGGTTGTTCTCGGGGTTTTTGGGCCCTCCTGGTTATCCTGGCGTCCCACCGGGGTCTTAGGACAGTTTTCCTCCATAGTTTCGTCTATAGTGTTACCAGAAGGGTCAAGGATTATCAAACTTTACCGACCTCTTGCCTCAGGCCTACCATAACCCTTCTTGCTGGGTGCTCAGGGAGGCTCGCCGAGAGAATTGGATCTAAACCCCGCATCCACATTTCAGCGTGTGCTGGCTCGACGACGGTGTGTTTGTAGGCAGCCGCAAAGGGGAAGTATGGACAGGAAGGCTTTAATATGGCGCTGCAGCGAGCATTGATACCTGGCGGTTGAAGATGGATTGTGTGCAAGAGTGCTTGTCGTGGCGGCCCTGTTTATTGCATAGGGAGAAGGTGCAAGGGCTCGGCGCACGCCTGCTGCTGCAAGCGCGGCGTCGGATGTACATGCATAGGCGCTCACGCATGCTTGCGGCATGACATCGCGTTTCCGATTTTGGGTGCTCGCGCGTGCATTTTGTACATGCCAAGGAGGGACCAGGCAGGAACTATTGATTAGTCGACGCAAGTGGGCCCATACGGGAGGGGGGAAGGGTTAAAAAGGGGAAGAAGAGGAGGAGGGTGAGGATGCCGGGGAACTGATTTCGCAGAAGGCTCAAACCAGCCAGAGAGAGGATTGGCCTTCCAAGCCTGCTCTCAACACGCACACGCGCGACTCTTCCATGGGTCTTCTCAATGAGCAGAGCATGGCCGGAAGTGGCTCCATCACGAACGGTTCGAAGCCCAGCTCGTACAAGCCGCTCAAGCTTGTCAGCCTCGCGCTCAGCGAAGTCTTCATGCTCTGCCCTGACGAGTCGACATCTTATCATCCCTCCCTCCTGCCCCCTCCTCCTTCTCCCTTCTCTTTTCTCCTTTCTACATCTGACACCCTTATACGGGTATCTCCTTCCTCCTTTCTCTCCCTCTCTCCTCCCTCCCCTTCTTTCTCCTTCTCCTCCCTATCCCCCCCAAAAGGGGCTCAGGGTCAGAAGCATTCCTGGAATCGTATAGCCTTGGGCGACACCAGATGCCCAATGGTGTTACAGTGGACGTCGGGCCTTGGAGTGCACCTGAAGACTGATCGGGGATTAATTCCCCAGACTGCTTGCACCTAGGGGTCCTTACCTGTTCCCCAAGCAGTGCTTGCACTTAGGAATTTTCGTTTGTTTTTCACTGAACTGGGCTCGTGTGCTGCCCTGGCCGGCTTGTCGTCGCCCCGTCGTCGCCCGTCGCCGCCCGTCGTCGCCTCGTCGCAGGCCCGTGTGCCGCCCTGGCCAGCTTGTTGTCGTCTCGTCGCCGCCCGTCGCCGCTCGTCGCCGTCCGTCGTTGCCCCGTCGCCAGTCGTCGCCGCCGCCTTGCCGCCGCATTGCATTGCGATCGCACGACGTTGCACTGCAATCGCATTGCATTGCGCTACAATCGCACCAGATAGATCGCACCACATGGATTGTACTACATCGATTGCAATGCATAGCTCATACCTTATTGATCGGACCACGTAGATTGCACCTCATAGCCCACACCATTTTGCTGACACCACCTAGACGAGTACGTTGGCTCCACGTAGTTTGTACTACATAACTTAGCACATCAGGTAGCTCACACCATATACACACATAAGTACACAAATGTATACATATATCTGTATATCTATATATACATTGCACTCCAAATGTTGCATCACTTGGAGCCCACTACAGCCCACTACACAGCTGACCCCACATAGATCGCACCAGATGGAGTGCAGCATAGATATTGCACTATATAACTCACACCACATAGATCGCATATATATATATACATATATACATAAACTGCACTATGTAACTTGCACCACATGGCTTACACCGTAGCTTGCACCACACAGCTTGCTCCACATAGCTTTGCACCAGATTGCCTGCGCCACGTAGACGGTATCACTTTGCATGCTAGGAACCACTGCTTTGGGCCCCCGCTGGCTAACATGTTTCAAGGAACTGGGCTCGTGTGCCGCCCTGGCCGGCCTGTCGCCGCCCCGTCGCCGCCCTGTCGCCGTTTGTTGCCGCCCGTCGCCGTCTCGTCGCGGGTTCGTGTGCTGCTTTGGTCGTCTTGTCGCCGCCCCGTCGCCGCACGTGGCCGCCTCGTCGTGGGCTCGTGTGCTGCCCTGGTCTGCGCATGGTCTTCCCGTCTTCCCGTCTCTGCCTCGTCGCCGGCCTTCGCCGCTTTGTCGCCGCCCGTGGGCGCTGCAATCGCATAGCACTGCATTGCAGTCGCATTGCGTTGTGCCACATATGCAGGTTGCACCACTTAGATCGCTTCACATGGATGCACTACGTAGATTGCACCACGTAGATTCTCCTTTCTAAAAGAAGAATAGACTCTACCCCCCCCAGAGTTATGGGCCACCTTTCCGTATTGCAATTTAAATATGCTTCTGCCCCATCGTCCATCCTAACAGTGAATTCGTACTATCCCAGCCCAACCGGTATCGCCCCCCCCCTCCCCCCATCCTCTGCAAAAAATACTATGCGAGCGCTCTCGTTTATCAAAAATCAGAAGTTCCAATAACCCCTTGCAACAAATGGGACGAAGTGCACACGCGCGCGTCGTCGCGCGCGCATGCCGAAATCCTTCAAACACCTTCGGTTTCGGAAGGATTTCAAAATCGAGTTCCCAACAAACATTCAAAAACACAGGATTTCGCCACACTCGTTTTCTGAAAAAGCTTACGCGCGGGCGTCGTGGTCGTTTCCGTCGTCGTTGTCGCCGTGGTCGTCCTTCCTCCTCCTCCCTCATCGTATTCGTCGTCGTCGTCGTCGTCCGTCGTCGGCGTCTCTTCGTCGTCCCTCCTATTTCGTCGCCGTCGTCGTCGTCGTCGTCGTCGTCGTCGTCGTCGTTGTCGTCGTCTTCGTCGTCGTCGTCGTCCCTCCCTCGTCGTCGTCGTCGTCGTCGGCGTCGCCGTCCTTCCTCCTTCTTCGTCGTTCGCGTCGTCGCCGTCCTCCCTCCTCCCTCGTCGTTGTCGTCGTTGTCGCCGTCGTCGTCCTCCCTCCTCCCTCGTCGTCTTCGTTGGACGTCGTCGTCTTCGTCGTCGTCGTCGTCGGCGTCGGGTCGTCGTCGTCTTCGTCGTCGTCGACGTCGGCGTCGTCGTCGTCGCCGCCGCCGCCGTCGTCGTCGTCGTCGTCGTCGTCCGTCGTCGTCGTCGTCGTCGTCGTCGTCGTAGTCGGCGTCGTTGACGTCGTCGTTGTCGTCGGTGTCGTCGTTGTCGTCGGCGTCGGCGTCGTCATCGTCGTCGTCGTTGTCATCGTCGTCGTCGTCGTCGACGTCGGCGTCGGCGTCGTCGTCGTCGTCGGTGTCGTCGTCGTCGTCGTCGTTGTCGTCGTCGTCGTCGTCGCCGTCGCCGTCGCTGTCGTCGTCGCCGTCCTTCCTCCTTCGTCGTTCGCGTCGTCGCCGTCCTCCCTCCTCCCTCGTCGTTGTCGTCGTTGTCGTCGTTGTCGCCGTCGTCGTCCTCCCTCCTCCCTCGTCGTCGTCTTCGTTGGCGACGTCGTCTTCGTCTTCGTCGTCGTCGTCGTCGCGTCGGCGTCGTCGTCGTCTCGTCGTCGTCGACGTCGGCGTCGTCGTCGTCGCCGCCGCCGCCGTCGTCGTCGTCGTCGTCGTCGTCGTCGTCGTCGTCGTCGTCGTCGTGTAGTCGGCGTCGTTGACGTCGTCGTCGTCGGTGTCGTCGTTGTCGTCGGCGTCGGCGTCGTCATCGTCGTCGTCGTTGTCATCGTCGTTGTCGTCGTCGTCGTCGTCGGCGTCGGCGTCGTCGTCGTCGTCGTCGTCGTCGTCGTCGTCGTCGTCGTCGTCGTCGTCGTCGCCGTCGTTGTCGGCGTCGTCGAAGTCGTTGGAGACGTCGTCGGTGTCGTCGTAGTCGTTGTCGGCGGCGTCGTCGTCGTCGTTGTCGCTGTCGTCGTCGGCGTCGCTGTCGTTGCCAAGTGCCATTTGGTACCCACCGTCACGGTCTTAAGAGATTTTGCAAACCAAGTTGCGGGTAGGCGGGTGGGATGTTTGCAAGAGCATGGGATGTGTCAACTCATTGGTAACAATCAATTGCACTACGTAGATGGTGCCACACAGACTGCACGCACATATTGCTTCGTTTTTTGTTCCTGAGTGAGGCACCGCGCAGATCTGAGGTAGACCTCGCCGTCCCTGGGGGGCTGCGATTTGTGCAACTGTCGCCACTTTCGAGGGCTGCTGGTGGGTCCAACGGAGTGAGGCACCGCGCAGATCTGAGGTAGACCTCGCCGTCCCTGGGGGGCTGCGGTCTGTGAAACTGTTGCCACTTTCGAAGGCTGCTGGTGGGTCCAGCGGAGTGAGGCACCGCGCAGATCTGATGTAGACCTCGCCGTCCCTGGGGGGCTGCGATCTGCGAAACCGTCGCCACTTTCAAGGGCTTCTGGTGGGTCCAGCGGGGTGATGCACCGCGCAGGTCTGAGGTAGACCTCGCCGCCCCTAGGGGGCTGCGATATGTGAATCTGTCGCTACTTTCGAGGGCTGCTGGTGGGTCCAGCGGGGTGAGGCACCGCGCAGATCTGAGGTAGACCTCGCCGTCCCTGGGGGGCTGCGATCTGCGAAACCGTCGCCACTTTCGAAGGCTGCTGGTGGGTCCAGCGGGGTGAGGCACCGCGCAGATCTGAGGTAAACCTCGCCGTCCCTGGGGGGCTGCGATCTGCGAGCCCGTCGCCACTTTCGAGGGCTGCTGGTGGGTCCAGCGGGGTGATGCACCGTGCAGATCTGAGGTAGACCTCGCCGTCCTGGGGGGCTGCGATTTGTGAAACTGTCGCTACTTTCGAGGGCTGCTGGTGGGTCCAGCGGGGTGTTGCACCGCGCTGACCTGAGGTAGACCTCGCCGTCCCTGGGGGGCTGCGATCTGCGAAACCGTCGCCACTTTCAAGGGCTTCTGGTGGGTCCAGCGGAGTGAGGCACGGCGCAGATCTGAGCGTGACCTCGCTGTCCTTGGGTGGTTGCGGTCTGCGGAACGGTCGCCACTTTCGAAGGTCCAGCGGAGTGAGGCGTCACGCAGCTTTGAGCTGGACCTCGCCATCCCTGGGGTGCTGCGAGCCTCGCGAATGCCGCTCGCAGATTTACATGCGCCCATGTCACATCATCACCTCTGAATAACGTGTCCCAGGCTACTCGTGCCCCGCATTGTGCAGGGGTTGGGTACGTCGTCAGGGTCAATCTCAACTGTCCTGTCCAAGGAGGCCTTCGCGCGCGCATGTCGAACTTATTCCAAATCCCTCGCGCGCTTGCCAGAGGCATGAGTCCTGTCAAATAATACCATGCGGGGCACCGTCATCGTCATCATTGCCGTCGGAAGCGTCGTGATAATGTTCGTCGTCGTTTGTCGACGCCGTCGTCCGCGTTGTCTCCCGCAAGATGGACTTTGCCCGCGCGACGAGCGTTCGCGCGCCAATGAACACGATGAAATTATCGGAGGTTTTCCAAGCTGTAATTGTACTCGCGACCTCATGAGTTCCGCCAACCACCTCATCGTCGTTTGTCGACGCTGTCGTCCGCGCTGTCTCCCGCAAGATGGACTTTGCCCCCGCCGCGAGGGTCCGCGTGCCAGTGAGCTCGATGAAATTTGCGGACGAGCTCCACGCTGTAAGTGCAGTCGCGACCTTATGAGTTTTGCAGACCAAGATGCGGGTGGGAGGGTGGGATGTTTGCACGATCGTGGGAGGTGGTTGCGCGCGGTGCGGCGTGGTCAATTTCATTACATATATTGCATCACGTAGATTCTCCTTTCTAAA